AGAGAGAGAAAGAAAGTCATCTTTCCAGTCCCATGTTTGGTCTGATTGTATGCTTCACATGGTTTAACATTTTATACTGGTTAAAGTCTGTCTTTGTACACACTGCTTATCTGAATGTGCTGCTTGAAAATGAAAAACACAAAAACCTTTAGATGATTGACGCACGTAAGGTCCTTCCCTATGTGAACGGCTTTGTGAGGTTTAGCTGTTTTATCTTTCAGCAGGTTAAAGGTTTTTGTTTTAATATTTAAAATAGCTTTTAATCTACTTTGATTTAATTCTGTAGCATGTGGGTAACTGGCTTATAACAGCTGTGCAGATCAATACAGAGAGTCCTCAGAAATGGCAATTGCATTCAACCCAGCAGCGCCCCTTCTGGGCGTCTCACCAAGCTGTGAAAGACGATGTGCACAGTCCCACACACAGGCCCTCACTGGCACTAGTGCTGTTCACCCCAGCTAAGTCCTGGGTGCAGTTTTCATATTGGTCAACAAAGATGGATAAATGAAATGTGGAACAGTGGCACACTGCCAGCCACATGGAGGGACAAGCTGGAGTCATTTGTAGAAAAATGGATGTGGCTAGAGTCTATGCTAAGCGAAATAAATCAGAACCAGAAAGCTAAATTTTGTGTAGTTTCTCTTATTTGAGAAAGTCAACGTACAAATAATTGGAAGATGAGGAACAAAAATTCCTCATTTGAGACACGAAGACACACAGTTTGCAGATGGGAAGGGACCTACGGCCGGAGGAAGAGGAAAATGAGTTAAAAGAAGGGGAATTTAAAGGGATTAATACCCATCTACACATGTACCACAACAAAATATGCATTAGGCATTATAATTGCCTACTAATAAAAATGATAAATGCACATGCTGCAAGTTAAATCTTTGGGAGAGTGCCCTTCTCAGGCTTTTGTTGTCTTATGGAGAGAGAATCTGGAGTGAGACTTCCTGATGTAAGTAGGGTTTCCTTTGACAATGGCTACATCTGTGCCCTTTCTCTCCGAGGGGCTGGGCAGAAATCTTCTAGCCTTAGCCCATCACTTGGCCCAAGGACCAGAATGGCAACAGCTTAAAGCTTCATCACAGGGACAGACACTGACTCCGAATGTAGAGCTCTGCCAGTGCCCTTCCCCCACTGGATGGTGTGAGTACAGGCCTCTTCTGTACCTCCAGCTGTCCTTGAGTTCGCTCTGTGGCTCAGGCTGACCTTGAACTGGTAACCATCCTCTTAACTCAGCCTCCAGAGTGTGACAGTTACAGCCACTTCATCCAGCTCTACCATCTACCCCCTTTTCCAGATTTCCCTTATAAACAGTCTCCCTGTGTGTGGACTGTACCTCTAATCCCCCATAATCTGGGACTAAATATCCAGCTAAGTGGGGATCAGAGTACATTGTTCGTGAGGTAGTCATGGACCAGAGAAAAGTCGAATTGGTGAGGACATAGTTGTAAATCTATTTCTACTCAGTAATATTAAAGAAAAAGATGTCTCCTCCTTCAAAAATCAAGATTTCAAAGACCGGTGTAACTTTCAGGATACAATTATAAACTCCATTGTCCTTCACTAAGGATACCATGTATTTCATTATTATATACATTATTGTTTATATATTGACCTTTCTATGAAGCAGGTAGGCAACTAATTAGGAATTTCTAGTTAGCAGTAAATTTGTGATTGCAAAAATAGATTTAAGCATTTTAATTTCAAATAGTATCTATATTTTAAATAAAAACATATCAGGAATGTTTTCTTAACTCTTAGAGAGTAAACTAATAAAATCAATTGTAATGAAAAACTCACCATCCCCCATAATGCACTAAGTGGGTAAAATGCACCCAAGGACTGCAGAGTGCACGCAGGGAGCTGAAGGGTACAGATCGCCCCCTAATTCTGGGACAGTATTGATTATATTTCCCCCTCTCTATGCACATAAATTCCCTTGGCGTCAGCAATCAACCATTTCAAAACATGAAGGAAAATATTTTGTTATGTTAATGAAGGCAAGAAATGTTACTGTAATAAATTAGGTAGTTTGCATAAGTAGGTGGTTCAGTATAGAGCAGCTTCCTCGTTCAATCATAAAGACAGATGCGTAAGGGTGTGACGAATTCTAAACCTCTGAATAGAATGAACAAGCTACTTCAAGTTATTGTTCAGAAAGCTTTGAATTAGAAAACTGATAGGTAAATTTATTCCGAACATTACAGAGAAGGTTTAAAGACACATTTATTGCATTCAGTACATCTTTCTTTGCATGGAAAAATAAGAACTATTTCCTAAATTTTACGTTTAACTGCTTTTGGCAAATGAAATAAAATACCCAGTTAAATGAAAATTTCAGATAAAAGTGAGTGCACATGTATAGTATAAATATGTCACATTCGATGATATAATATTTGTTGTATATATTATTTATATAATATGTTATGTATATATGTAAATCCTAAATATTATTTAGGAACATATAATATTTGGCATATATCCATATTGTAAACTTTACATTTGTGTATATCTATTTCGAATATATTTATTGGTACATTTTAGGTGTATATAATGGGCACAGCCAACATAACAAATTTGCACCTATACATGATGCACAAGAATTTCTTCCCATTCCACTACCCTCCCTTTAACCTACCAGTCTTCCTTATTTACAAAAGCTTTCTTTCCATCTTTTCCTTCTTTTCTTACCACTATTTTCTTTTCCCTTCTTTTTCCCTTCCTTATCCATGGGTCCCTTTCCTTTTGGGACATTGTTTTCAAACATATATTTAACTGGATATCCTGATTTTTTTCTTTTTATGTGGTAAACCTAACAACCTGAGAAATCTGTTTCTTATACTTCCTCAATGTATTTCAATGTAAAAGGCTTTAACTTGTCAATGAACTTCCACAACTACTAAGTGTAGAGTGTTGTCTGTGGAAGAAGAAAAAGCCCCTACAGAGCTGTAGTGCCCTGTCAGGCCTAACTGCAGTCTATAGAAAGCTGGTGCGAGGTAATTACTTCTGTTTATTAATAACTTAGTGTATCAAACAGGAATATCCAAAATAATGGGAAGTCACCCAAGTAAAGTCGATGAGCTTTTCTTTGTTGATTGAGCTAGAGATTTCAGCATTATCAGTACTAATGACTAATCTACAATATTGACACAACTGCCAGTGATCCTCAGTCCAGCTGGCCACCAGGTTGTTTAACACACACACATGCACACACACATGCATGTGTGTGCACACGCACAGAGTGAAATGAAAGCTTATACCACAAATATCATTAACTTTGTGATGAAAAGCCCTAGATTATAGCCCCAGCTCTTCCACTGCCATACATGTGAGTTACTTCTTAGATTGTAATTACCTTACAACCTCTCTCTGTCACTACTTCCTAATTTTACAATTGAGTAAAACTATAGCTCATGAAATTTCACTTGCTCTTAGCCAAAAGGCCGAGAATCAATAGCTCCTGAAATTTAAATAAGTTATATGAAAATGACTTTCACAGAACTTTCTGTGCACCAGTAAGGTAAGCTTTTATGAGCTTGATAGACACATGTAATTATGAACACGTGATTATATAAAATTGATAATGCACAAATGAGATCAATCACATGCAATATTTTTCCTTGGATTATCTAAAAAATAACAATTAAAGGCTGAAAGGTAGAAGATCCTGCTCCCCATTTTGAGGACACTAAGTGTGTCTTGCCTTTAGTATAGCTATGTAAAATGTGAAGTTTACGTAGACAGACCAATACACTTTTATTTTGCATTCAAAATTTCATACTGCTTTTCTGTCATCAAATTCTCTCACTTAAAATACTAACCAGCTACTCTGCAATGTGAGTCCAAAAATCTGGTTTTATATCTTGTTTAGGCATTCAAATATCTTCTGTGCTTATTCAGAGATAAAGGTTTTGCTTCCAGGCAGTTGATGACTGATTGAAAAATGCTCATGTCCCATATCAAAAAGTTGATTTTCCCCCTAATTCTCCGTTTTCTTTCTATTCTCCTTCAGCAATTGTAGTACTTTTCATCACCCTGAGGCGCGGTAAGAAAGAGCCGCTGATCATTTCAGAAGAAGACGTGCGGGAGAACGTGGTCACCTACGACGACGAGGGCGGCGGCGAGGAGGACACCGAGGCCTTCGACATCTCGGCCCTGAGGAACCCGGCTGCGGCCGAGGAGCTCAAGTGCCGGAGAGACATCCGCCCGGAAGTGAAGCTCACACCCAGACACCAGACGCTGTCCACCCTGGAAAGCGTAGACGTCCGCGAATTCATAGAGCAGAGACTGGCGGAGGCGGACCTGGACCCCAGCGTGCCCCCGTACGACTCGCTGCAGACTTACGCCTACGAGGGCCAGAGGTCGGAAGCCGGGTCGATCAGCTCGCTGGAGTCAGCAGCCACCACGCAGTCAGACCAGGATTACCACTACCTTGGGGACTGGGGGCCCGAGTTCAAGAAGTTGGCTGAACTCTATGGAGAAATAGAATCCGAAAGAACAACTTAGGGCCGATGCTCACAGCCTTGTAGACTTTGCTTCCGGAGCCAACGAAGATGTAACCTCAGCAGTGACAAGGACGACGCTGGCAAACTGTACTTGGGACTGAACGAGCTGTCCACGGCTCCTGTAGAAACAAGTGCCCTTTTTATAAGTAACACTGGGTTATATAATTGGAAGAAAGTCAACTATTAAACATACAAAGAAAATACAGAGAAAAAGCTATGATTCCCTGTGTATATTTTCAATTGTTCAATAAAGTCTATCATACATTTAATTAAGAATACCTGAAATAAGCCAAATAATGAATATCTGTTTCAATATTTGTGATTTTTGCCCCCTAAAGAAAAAAAAAAAAAAAAAAAACTAAGTAAAGGGGTTCAAAATCAATGACAACTACTACTTTCAGGGATGGTACACTGAAAAGGAAACTTGTGGAAGTAGTCATGACCTTCTTGTGGGTAACCCCTGTGACTCAAACTCCGTTACTGTGACAGATCTCCTGAGCCTTGTCCTGTTTTCGAATGCTGTCAGGCGCTCGCGGTACACCAGGCCGCCCTGTCCTGGACCTCTCCGTGCCATTTTCCTGCGCCCTCCCCAAGTCTTCTCTCCAGCCAAGTGGGTGGAGCATGGGGATTTGCTGCCTGCACTCTATGTATGCAATTTTGGTGCACATTTGAGCACCGGCTGTTTCTGTCCCTCCCCCCCCCCATTTTAGTAGGAGACCCCCTTTCCTAAATGGGTACAATGAATGGTTGAAGGCAAATGAAAATAAAATCAAAAAGATTCTCAATTTAAGAAACAGCTACAACCTTATCCTGTGTGACATGTTATGAAGCACCAGGTCCTCCTTCTGTTCGAACTTGTAAATCAGCCCTTTTAATCATTTCTGTAACTAAAATTGATTGTCCAAAGTTCCACTGATTGGTTTCTACTGCAGTCTACTTACTGATTTATGTCACTGATGTTTATAGACAGAAGTGATTCACATGGTAACATTTCCATTGGAAAAATAGCCTATCGCATTATGAACATTAACATCTTAAGAGTCATGGTTCACCTCCCCCCAGCTCTACACGCCTTCACACTCATTCAGTCCATGTGAGGAGTTCATGTAGGTTTGGTGTCTACAAGAGAATATGTGAGACTTAGCACAAAAAGTAGGAGATTCACACTTTTCTTTGAACACAATTTTGAAAGTTTGGAGCTTTGTGGTTTCGAAATCTGAAAATAAAAATGACACTGACCTCCTTGCCTACCCACAGGGCTGTTGTGAGGACCATACACGGGTTTGTAAAAATATTTTGCACACTGCAAAGTCCTGCACTGCACAACAGCTTGGAGACATTATTTTTAAAATTCTTTATTTATATGTTTACATACATTTTGCATAAAGCACCATAGTGTCATAGGAGAATTTCATAAAGCATTCAACTAATATTTAAATATATAACACGTTAGTCTAATTATTTTACTGTTTTTCAAAGCAACCTAATTTTCTTGAGGCTTTGTTTTTTCAAATTGTTTCAGGTAAAATTTTATTATTACTATTGATCTTGAAGTAAAATTTGACATCATACTGGTCCTCTTCACTAGATATGATCTCATCTTGGCATTTGCAGGGTTTTGGAATTTTTAAATCTATAAAATAAGAGTTATTTTAAGGTTGTGATTTGTTCTTTATTCTTTAAAAGTTTTTGCCATCTAGTGTCTCAAAAAGTTATACGAAATTTTCTGTCCGATTCCACCCATGTGCAGAATTTTGGATTTTGCCTGTTTGCCATGGCCCTGTGCTATAGCGCATCCCAGCGCTGAGGTACAGGAAGTAAGTTCAATTTGAATAATTCTCACTTTGTGTTTAAAGCCTGAGAGGAATAAAATGTAATTAAGCTTTTTGCAAAATGTTAGCTTTCCAGGTTCTGCTTTATCTATTTTCTTTCCTTACGGTGCGCATTCCAGTGATGGAGGGCCTGGGAGGGTAGTCCCCGCTACACAAGCCTTGCTTCGGCCCGCTGGGCTCTGTCCTCCTCTTGGAAGTGTCCTTGGAGAACCTCTGCAGATCCGGGTGCTTACTTCATTAGACAGAGGGCACTGGGAGGAGCAGGATTTGGAAGTCAAAATTCCTGTGAATTTATATTTTTGATAAACTACCCATGATTTCAGAACAATTCCTTAATAATTTTGCGAAGGAGGATGAGAAAAAAGACACCATTTATATTCATGGTTTTACAGAAAAAGCACAGTTGTATTCATGAGTCTGATAAGAAACTCCTTCACTGATTTTAAAAAATGAAGCCCTCTTGATCTATCTCATTTTATTTACACAGAATAACACATTACTTTTTAAATTTCATTTACTTTATTTTGAAAAGTAAAAAATGAAAACAAAATCAGAAACAAAAACGGAAATGGTAAAATACAACAGTACATATGTTACAGATTTTCAAAAAAGGAATAGCTAATTAACAATGGTTGATATATTATTTATTTTTATTGTCAAATCTGCTGTTCAGCTTAACAGATATAGTCATATAAATTGGACATATGATTGAATATTTCCACTTGCTTTCAAGAAGCCTTAATTTTTCTTATCTTGCCTCTCTTTTTTTCCTTTTTTTTTACCTTTTTAAAACATATTTCAAAGAAAATATAAAAAGAATTGCTGTGATATTAGAAACAGTGCACATTTAGAAGACCAAGATGACAAGTACTAACATATTGCATTTAGGCTCCTGACAGTAAACACAAGCATGAAGAGCAAGTTCTATTGGTTTGTAAATATTTTTCAGATTGATTTGCTCTAAACTTTTATTAATAAAGTGTTCTAAGCACTGTATTTTATATAAATTATAAAAGGAGCTCTATGATTTTTGTGAGTAAAGAGCAGATTTCTTAATTCTTTTTCTGTCTTCAAGTTAAGAAAATAAGAAAGATACAGGGATGTTTTCAAGTTGAACAGCCATTTACATTCAATCTTTACTGCAAAATCTCCAGTTTTTAGTGTTAACAAAAAAATTCTTGTCAAGTTTAGAGAGTTGAAGTCATACACGATGACTCTGAGCTCTCACTGGAAATTACAGATAATCTGCTATGTACTAACATGCATCTAATGTGTGTTGGTCCATTTTGAAAGGTTTAGCTGATATTTGTGGACATAAATAAAATTCAGTTTTGAAAGCAATTTACTTCTTTCCATCAAAGAAAAAATTCAGAAAGATTAAATATAAGTGGCAGCCTCTAAGTAAGGGATATATTAATATTATGAGATTATTTTTACCCAAGGTGATTCCTTAGAAGTGTTCATTAATTCCAAATACTCTGAGCAAACACTGAGAAATTAATAGATTTTTCAAAAATTACCATGCGCTTATTGTCAGAAAATCTTCTTGGGACAAATCTGTGCAAACATATTTGGAGAAGCACCTGGGGACAAAATGATGACAATGAGAAAGATTTGTATATACATAAGTGGTAACTTTACTGTTGTATGGTATCAACCACGTGCATCCACTTTGCTTGCAGTTACATCTGCTTAACATACACGACATCCTCCTGAGGAATATTTGGAAAGTGTACAAGTTTTCAAAGTGAAGATTTAAATGTATGGTGAAGATAATACTGTAGTAGAAGCTCAGTAGAGATAGGTGACGCAACATGGACTGTTTTGGCTTTTGTGCAGCCTAACTTTCAGTGCTTCCAATTTGCCATTAAGCTACACAGGTGATCAAGTGAAAAGCAGACAAAATCATAAATCAGGAATAAGGCAAACTTTTAGAAATGGTGACTCATTAGATGCAGTGCAGTGTCTACTGAGTAATTGCTACCAGGCACTTGCGCCTTCTACTTAGCATATGCCACTGAGTCAGAAAGCTGCGTGCGAGGAGGGAAGGGTATTGGGCCCAAGATTTCCAGGAAAGAGAAAATTTAGCACAAAATTAGCCCTTGAGTTTCATTGAGGTTGTTGTTCTTATGGACTTGTACCCCTAAATTTTATTTGGCTTCTCCATGTTGGTTTAAATATAAGGAAAAGAAGCAAAAAATTCAGGTAGATTAATTGCAGAGCCACCGAGCAGCTCCAGTTTACTGAGCCTGATAATGAAACAAGCTTGAATCTAGTGAGTCGCTGTGTGTAAGGTGAGCAGGGCTTCACCAACGTTTGAACAAATTAAAACTCTAGAACTGATTTTACTGAAAAAGGAATAGTCATGTTTCAAGTTCAAGGTGTGCTTATCTTCTCCTATTAGTTAAATTTATTTCCTTCCAATTTCAAGCCTAAAGTCGTAGGAAAAATGTACCACATCCAAAATCTCAATCGTTCTCACTCTCGCTCCCTCCCTGTACTATTAATTCTATCTGAGATATAGGATGAAAAGTCTCATAAACCCAAAGCGCAAAAGAATCTTGCTACAACTTGAAAATGACTAGAACAGAAGTCAATGACTATTTTTAAATTTTCCACATACATAATTTTAAAATTAAAGGCAATACTTTTTAATATGTAGAAACCATTTTTCTACTATGCTTGTGTAAAGATGTAGGTAGTGAGGTGAGGCAACTATTTTTTTTTTTAAAAAAAGAAAGAAATTAGAAAAAATAGTTTTTTATTTGAAGTACTGATTTAATTTCTTTTTTTTTTTTTTTAAAAAAAAGCTTTATCTTGTTAAAAAACCAAAACAATTATACTTGTCCACTTTGGTGAGTTCCTGGTGGTGAATACTTGCTTTTCAACATTTTCTGTGTGTGCATGGTGGGGGCATTGAGACAGAGTCTCTTATGTGCAGCTCAGGCTGGCCTTGAACACACAATGATCCTCCTGCCTCAGCCTCTCAAGCGGTGGAATTATAGGCATGCACTACCACACCCGGCACATTTTAGAGAAAACAAAATTGATGCTAGTGGGATTCTTTCTAAACTCTGATATGAAAGCGAGTGGTCTAAGTGGGCACTCATGGGTTCTTGAAATTATAACCTTTAAGGGAGGGAAGTGCCATTTACCACAGGTAGCAATGAGTTTGTGGGATGATTTAGTCTTACTGTCCATTAGTTCTAGCTTCGGAACAAAGATCATGGTCGTTAATGGTGTCATCTGAATACTTTCATTGTGAATATTTTTCTTATATAAAAATGGATCAGGCTGGTCAAATAGCTCAGTGGACTAAAGAGCCTGCAAGTAGGGGTAGGGACC